AAAAGTTCCAGAAACTTTATACTTCACATTTCATGTTTAAATTTCCCTCTTTTTTTTTTTAACATGCTTTTTATGGTAGTTTATTCCTGTCAGACTTTAATCCCTTTAACATGCTCTCTTTGCAATCCTTGACAAATCATAGAAAGCTAATTTACTCAAATAGATAGTTACTACACATAGGGCAGATTGCTCTGGCTAGATTAATTTGAAGTTTCCACGTAAATCATGTAATTTGAAATCCTTTCCAAGACGCTGTTTTCCTGCCCTTGTTGCATGGAAGTAAAGTTCTTAACCCTGAAGAAATTCTGCCCTGCTAGGGGTGGAATAAAAGCTAACTGGTAGTGGCCCGGTTTGCAGCTCGTTGAAGTTGATGGAAAGCTGTTGGCTCACTTCCATCTTTGATTTCTACAAAGAGGCAGGGTTGCCCAGTGGCTATGGCTCTATCCCTGAACCAAATAGATTTTAATTCAGTTTCTTACTCTCCCCAGGCTCTCTTGTGACTTGACACAAGTAATTTAATCTCTCTATGCCTCTGTTTCTATAGTGGAAATAACAATACTTCTCTTTCACCTCAGGCTATTTAGGGTAAATGCACTGAAGACTGGGGGGAGCTCAGGCAGTGGAGCCTAGAGAAATTCCTAGATGGAAACTATTTGTGATCATTCTTGTAGGCGTTCATTATTGATAGAGACCTGCCAAATTTGCAACTGCACAGTTTTCACAGAAACTGCACATTTGGGCAGGGTCTGTGAAAAATGGCAGACTTGTTGCAATGTCTGTCCGTTTCCCCCCCCCCAAAAAAAAGAAAAAAAAAGAAAAAACAAAACAAAAAAACCCACCTACTGGCAAGCAGAGAAAAGAGTGGGAAGCCCTGCAATCTTGGAGTATGGTGGAGAGAGTAGAGGTGGGTGGGCAGGGCAGGGTGTGCTGCTCGCAGCAGGAGATGCAGAGGCTGCATGCAGCTGCAAGCAGCCCTACTCCACCCTCACACCACTCTGCCCTCTCTCCTCCTCCCCACTTCATCTCATCCCCACCTGCCCTCCAGTGCTCCAAAATTGTAAGGCTCCTGTCCTTTTCTCTGCTTGCTGGCAATGTTTGGGGTTTTTTTGTGGCGGTGGTGGGGGGTGGTGGTTATATAGTGAGGCTGCTGAAATCATGGAGTCCACTGCTTGAGGTGTTCCAAAACCACAGTTTATTACCCTGAGTAAGCCTGGGGAAGCTATTCATTCATGTTTAACATAGATTCATAGATGTTAAGGCCGGAAAGGACCTCAATAGATCATCGAGTCAGACCCCCTGCATAGGCAGGAAAGAGGGCTGGGTTCAGATGACCCCAGCCAGATGCCTATCTAACCTCCTTTTGAAGACCCCCAGGGTAGGGGAGAGCACCACCTCCCTTGGGAGCCCGTTCCAGATTTTGGCCCCTCTAACTGTGAAGAATTTCTTCCTAATGTCCAGTCTAAATCTGCTGTCTGCTAGCTTACGGCCATTAATTCTTGTAACCCCCAGGGGTGCCTTGGTGAGTAAAGCCACACCAATTCCCTTCTGTGCCCCCATGATGAATTTATAGGCAGCCACAAGGTCACCTCTCAACCTTCTCTTGAAGAGGCTGAAGAGGTCCAGTTGTTCTAGTCTCTCCTCATAGGCCTTGGCCCTTCTCTGGACACTCTTCACATCCCTCTTGAAGTGTGACGCCCAAAACTGGACGCAGTATTCCAGCTACGGTTTGACCAGCAACTGATAGAGGGGAAGTATCACCTCTTTGGTTCTGTTTGTCATGCATCTGCTGATGTATGATACAGTGCAGTTAGCTTTGCTGATGACTTCGTCACACTGACGACTCATGTTCATCTTGGAGTCCACTAGGACTCCGAGATCCCTTTCTGCTTCCGTGCTACCAAGCAGGTCATTTCCTAGGCAGTAGGTGTGCTGGACATTTTTCCTCCCTAGGTGCAGCACTTTGCATTTCTCCTTGTTAAATCGCATTTTATTGTTTTCTGCCCACTTGTCCAACCTGTCCAGGTCTGCTTGTAGTTATTCCCTGCCCTCCGATATGTCCACTTCTCCCCACAGTTTTGTGTCATCCGCAGACTTGGACAGAGTACACTTCACTCCCTCGTCCAAGTCACTGATGAAGACATTGAAGAGTATCGGTCCAAGGACCGAGCCTGCGGGACCCCACTGCCCACACCCTTCCAGGTCGAAACCGACCCATCTACCACGACTCTCTGGGTACGACCCTCTAGCCAATTTGCCACCCACCGGACTGTGTAATCATGCAAGTCACAGTCTCTTAATTTGTTCATCAGTATGGGGTGGGATACCGTATTGAATGCCTTCCTGAAGTCTAAGTAAATGATGTCACCCCTACTCCTGCATCCAGGTGTTTTGTAACCTGGTCATAAAAAGAGACTAGATTAGTCAGGCATGATCTACCTGCTACGAACCCGTGCTGGTTTCCCCTCAGCATAATTTTTCCTGCTGGGCTCTCACATATATGAGCCTTAATAATCTTTTCAAAGACTTTGCCAAGGATGGAGGTGAGACTGACTGGCCTGTAGTTGCCTGGATCCTCCTTCCTTCCCTTCTTGAAAATAGGGACCACATTGGCCCTTTTCCAGTCCTCTGGGACCTGGCCCGTGCGCCACGAGTGCTCAAATATTCTTGCCAGTGTTTGTGCAGTGACACCAGCCAGTGCCTTCAGTACACTCGGATGGAGCTCATCCGGGCCTGCCAACTTAAACACATCCAGTCCTTCCAAGTGACTCTGCACCATCTCAGGGTCAATGCTTGGTAGTCTGGCACCCTGCTGTTGCCTCTCTACAATCCCATTGTGAGACTTGTCTTGCCCCTCGTTTAGGAGCACTGAGGCGAAGAACTCATTAAGGAGTTTAGCCTTGTCCCCCCTGTCTGTCACCAATTGCTTTTGCCTATTCTGCCCTTGGCCTGCCTTTTACTCCCTATATATCTGAAAAACAATTTTTTGTTATCCTTAACTTGGGATGCCATCCTTAGCTCCATGGTAGCTTTGGCCTTTCGAGCTACCTCCCTTCAACTGCGAGCTGAGGAGGTATACTCCTCTTTAGTAATCTCTCCCTGTTTCCACTGCTTATATGCACCCCTCTTGGCCCTTAGGCTGCTCTGGATTTTTCTGGTCAGCCAAGGAAGCCTCTTGGCCCCTTTCCCCCTTTTCCCCCGCATCGGGATTGTCTCCCTCTGTGCCCAAAGGATTGCTTCCTGAAAGCACAACCACCCTTCCTAAACACGTGGTTTAATGACTTCTTCAGGCTTAATCAGGGTAATTAAGCCATGGTTTTGGGCCATGTGGCAATCTGCAGGGAGGGCTGGGACTGCCAGGGCCCATTGGCCAATCAGAGGCATGGGGGAGCCCCATTGTGCTCAGCCTGCAAAAATGGTGGCCAGCCCTGGGATCTGCTCATGAAATTGGCCAGCCGCCTCCAGTTTGGTAGATCCTTAATTATTAAAAATGTGATGTGTGTTTTGATTTGTGGTTAACATGAATACTTTATGGGTTCTCATTTGTGTTTGAGTATCTTGTATGTAATTTTTTAGGTCACTTTGGGACCTCCTGGGTGAAGCATTACTGCACATATCAGAGGGAATCTAAGCGAATAACTATGGTACCATTTGACCAGAAATCAGGAGGAAAAGGGGTGAGTGGGAATATGTAATTTGGTGTCAATTCAGTTATGCTAGCATCTCTGGGAAGGAGATGGGTGTGATGGTTTTTCTCATTCCAACATCAATTGACGTGGGTGAGCCTTGCATCTCTTAGCCTCAAACTTCTAAAGCTGCTGATGAATTTCTTACCTGTGGGTTCAGTCTTCCAATTCTCTTCTCTCCCTACAACCCTCCAGTAGGAATCTTTTTAGCAAGGTGATAAAATGGAAGTGAATTAAGATAAACTAGAAAAAGTACCTAGAAAAATGGGAGGTGAAGGTTCAAAGCTAAGGGTGGGGAGGACTTGTAAACCGGACTTTTGTCTCCTGAGCAGTTATCGTAACCATAAAGCCAGTGGTGCAGAAGTTGAGTACTGTTGCCATGACCCCTATCACAGTGCACAATGGGGAGGACCCTCCTGTACGGGACGCTGAAGTCAGTGGTGCTGTTGGTTAGATGCACTGGTTCAGATAAACATCTCCCCTCTGGAGCTGAGCCCCCAGGACAGCCCCCCTCTTAGCTACCAGAACTGAGCTGTATCCTGCCATGACAACTAAGGCTCCTCATTGAAAGAATAGAGATCTGTGAATTTCTGTGAGGGAAATGGATCTGTCTCTGGAGTTGCATAAGGGTGGGAGAACCTTGCCCTTCTATGCGGTGAGTGGACTAAGCCTCTAGAGCAAGGGTGGGCAAAGTCCGACCTGCACCGGACTCCGTTTTCCAGCAACCCCGGCTTTTGGCTGGTCTTCATGGAGACCCGAGGAGCACAGGGGCATGAAATCTGGGGCTCTGCCCCAGCCCTTCCCAACACCGTGCTGTCATGGCCCCACACTGTCATGCCGTCGCGCTCCTGAGGCATTCATGGAGACCAGCCAGGAGCCCCGTGGGCAGGGCGCGTGGCTGGGCAGGGAGCTGCTCCAGGGCCAGGGCTGGAATCTTGCAACAGTGACAGCACAGAGCGGGGCTAGGGTAGAGCCTTAGTCTGCTGCCCGCATGCCCCTGCGATGAGCACAGGTTTGGTGGGCAGGGCCATGTGGCCAGTGGATCGTGGCTGTGCCCTGGCACCGCCCCACATTGTCACCACCTCAAGATCCAAGATCTCTAGTGTTGCTTCAGGGTTGTGGGGCTGTCCTAGCTCCACCGGTTCTTGGAAAACCGTGGACAGAGTGGGCGTTCTACTTGGGAAGAGTGGGACGTGTCCTGTGGGACTGCTCACGGGCATTAGGACAGAGGGAGACACTAACGAAGTCCAGAACGCTTCAGTGAAAATCCTTTCAGTCTTCAAACGCAACAAAAAATGCAGTTTGTCCCCTGCCAGGGCAGTTTGCAAATCCCAATTTGCTTCTAGCAGCGGGAGAATGCACTTGCAATAGCAACAGCAATGGCAGGAGCCCGTGTGGTACACTTGTCCCAAGGTAAAGGGACTGCAGCAAGGGCAGTTGCGGATTCATTCTCTCTTGCCTTGGAGTGTCTTCATTATAGTTCATATTTAAAATATCCCCGCACTGCTCTCAGCTGCTCAGTGTGCTTGACTCCATCTCGTAGCACCTCAGAAAGGGCTCAGCATTTCCACTAAGTTTGTGCACCGATTAACAGGCACCTTCCACACACCCCTTTGCAGGTAGTGGTCTCTCTCTTACCGCTTTGGGTGTGGTCCTTTGGTTGGAAACCCTCATTCCACCAGGGCTTGCCTACTTTAGGAAACTTTTTCCTAGTTTAACTGTACTTGGTATACCAGCATTTAAACTGGTATAACTGTAGACATGCTAGGGCTATAGCTACTGTGATAACCAAATTAAAATTGTGGTTATGCTGAACTGATATGATAATGCTGAGTGATCTGTGAGTATAGCCACCCCCTGGTGACTGTTGTAGTCAGTTCTGTAGCTGTGTGGAGGCCTTGCATGTGTTTCTCAAGATGTCTGGGAACATGGACTCTGAAGCCGATGAGAAAGGAAAGGAAGCATGTAGCTTCTTTGGGCAGGAGAGGGAGCTCTGCTATACTCAGTCTGTAAAGGCTCTGTGTTTTTAGTTTCCAGCCTCTCATGAAACCACCTCGGGTATGGTTGAAGACTGGAGTCTGATAGTAATCAATTTAACTGCTTTCTCCACAAGTAGTGTTCTCAGCATACCAGACTAGGAGCTCAGTTCCCTGATGGCAGCCTTTCTTCTCTGCAAATCCAGCTAATTGCAGGGAAAGGAGTTTTGGTGCGTGGAGCAGGCAGCCTTTGGCAGAAGCCCTGTAGACAGCACGGAGAACTCGTCCAAGTTCTTGGTGTCAATGTTATTTTAGGTTCTTAAATACATTTTCTGGAACTGTGATAAGGATGATGTCGGTGCTATGCTTGGTCAGCATGACTGGTCAGCCAAGCTGTGGAAGAAGTGACAACTTGCCAGACAACTTGCACTCCAAGAGCTCTTACAGGGGTTTGATGTATATATTTTGCATTGAGCCATCAGTGGCTTTTAAAAAGTTGCAGATATCAAGAGCATGGTAGACCAAATCACTTAAACAGTCTGGAGCAAGACTACCTATCTAAATTTGTGTTGCGTCAAAGAAGCCAGGGCACTTCCAATGATTCCCCTTATACATGGCATGGATAATGTTGCTGTTAAGTGTCTCTTACAGAATTTGCCCTTCATGTAACTGTGCAGTTAGTTAAATGAGCTGATCAGTTTTGATGTACTGTAGTATGTTGCAGCTACTTTACAAAGTAGTTTATGGACTCCGGGGTGTTTTGTTAACCAACAGAGTCTGGTAGGCACAGGCCCCTGACACACGAGATAATCAGGAGTATCCCACGGGGTTATGAAACACAGCTGAACAGTGCTGATTTTATTCAGCAGATGACAGCAGTGTCCATACACATTGCCAGATAGTTATGCTTTATGTACAATATAGCAAAATTAAGCTGGAGAAAGATGATAGAGAAGGCTTGCCATGTCTTTATCCTCTATACATTTTATATATTTTCTGCCTCCCTCACAGATGACTTCCTGCCCTTGGAGCAGGGGGCTGGACTCAATGATCTCCCGAGGTCCCTTCCAGCCCTAATCTCTATGAAATGTATGAGATGTAAAATGCCATTAAAATACATCCACCTCCTGGGAGAAGATTGACAGTGCAAGGGAGAGCAAGGGAAACGAGGACTTATTTTTTGCCCAGGAACAGTGGGGTTTTACAAAAGGGCTGTGATGTTTACATGAGGCAGACAAGACACTCTCTGAATCATTTTATAGGAGATTTCTGACAGGGGCTGGAATTAAGCCTTGTTGCCTTGCAGGAGTGAAGGGACAAGTCACTGCATGTGTCATTCCAGGGAGTGCAGCTATGCTGAGACTCGCAAGCCAACCCCTCTGTTATATACATTGGTTGTCATTTTGTAATGAGATGGGGAACTGCAATATAGGCAGCCCTGATCTAAGCCTGTCCTCAGCCTGATCTAAGCTCTGTTTCCTTGCAGGGAGAAGATGAAGCAGTCATCCTCAAATCCTGCACGCGGCGCAAAACCGACTCAATAGAGAAGAGATTTTGCTTTGATGTGGAAGCAGTAGATCGGTGCGTAGAAAGAGCACAGCCTTAGCATGCACAGGGTTTGACTTCTCCATTGAACCCCACCCTGTGACTTGAATGTGCCTCTGCACACACATTTATACAAGCAGTTCAGCATGTATTATACTCTCTGGTTTACTTTACCCTTCTGAATAATTCTCATGTAATGTTAGTAGCATGGTTCTCTTATCCATTAGTCACACACTCCTTAAAAGTAATCCGTCAACCCATGAAAACACCTGTCTCTCTTCTCCCTTATGCGTGTTTTTTTTTTTTTTTGGTTTTTTTTTTACTGTGTGTGTTCAATATTGAGTTAGAGCTTCATTTGCAAGACTATCTGTTTACTCAAGTCACCTGGGATTTCAGGCCAAAAAAAGTAAACTACTAGCATTGTGGAACAAGGAATCAGCCTGTCTTTTATAAAAGTCCATTGTTATGGCAGAGACTGTACACATCTTTCCTGCTTCGTGTGTTCAAATAACATGACTTCACCTTTTCTGCTGGTGAATGACTGATTATAGAAACCCCACTCACATCGAACGCATGACACCTAAATTCACATAGTCTCTTTTCTGAGGAAACAAATGGTGTCTTCGAGCTCAAAGTGATTTATCATCTGGCAGGCGAACCAGAAGTATATATGGATTTAATCTATAACTCATGGAAGTAAGAGCCTGTCATCATGTTCAATTAACATCATACGTGGCTTACATCACAGTTTTATATGAACAGGAAAACCAATATGGAGCTGCTATTCTAAGCAGAGTGAGTCACTCTGCTTCCCCTTTTGCACTCTGGAGGAAGTTTATGGAAAGTAATTTTCTAACCATTAGAGCTCAGAGCTTGGTCTCAAAGTGCACTTGCTAATTTGTCCCTTTGTTTTTTTTCCTTTGCCCATAAATGTAATAGTACCCATAAAATCCCAAACAAAGCAAGTGTGATAAGAAAGAATGGGTTTGAATGTAGCTGGCTAGAACAACCTGTGCTGCTTTCCCCAGCCTTTCCTGTTCTTCATCAGCATGGCAGTGAGAGTCTTTCAGTGTCAGTAATAAAAAAGAAGGGATTTTTGTAAGGTTCCATCTCTCTTCTATTAATCTATGAGTAGATGTGCTTGGCTAATCCGAAAGAAAGTTCAAGCACTAATCCTCCCAGATTTTTTTTCTGGAAGCCAGACAAAGGGTTTAGATGCGCTTTTTTTTCCACTGGATTCTTGGGTATTTTTCTCTTACAACTGGAACAGTTAAATAAAAAGATAAAAATAAAACTGGTAAAAACCCAGGGACAACAACCACAACAGATCTCTGCAGTAGCAGCAGTTTTAGTGACAGAGGAACATTTGCTTGAAGTACTGAGACACCTTCTAGCTCCCAAATCAGGGGGACATTGCAGAACTATGTATGATCAATCCAGAACAGTGAGAGTGGGAAAAACCCTGGGAACTTGCTCCTTGACCTTGTTGCATGTGTATGCTCCTGCTGCAGGAGCACCCCTCTGTGTGCCAGGTCACAGTGAGGGGAGTTTCTCTCTGGAAGATGGCAGGAATGGAGTGTCAGGAAATGAGAGTTGTTTTTTCAAGATAAAGAAACATGACTACATATTTTGGTGTCATAATTTTACAATTAATTGCACTAATAAATCAATAAAGCTCTTATTATTAATTAGGAAGGGAAGAGAATAAGGTTAGGCCAGCGGGTATTAATGCTGAGAGGCAAATGTTACTGGTTATAAAAATACTCAATACATGAAACTGCTCCATAGTTTCTGCTGGTCATGTTACTGATTTTAGGTAGAGGTCAGATCATCATCTGGGTCCAGTGTTCAGCAAAGGGTACAGAGGTATTACTGTAGCTTCTTCACCCCAATGCCTCTTTAATGTCCTATGTAATAGGTTTATGTTAGGATACCTAGCTGGAGAAGGGTAACTGTACAACCAGAGTTTTATAGTGATAAGTTAAATTACAAATGAGGAAAGCAGAACTAAGTTGCCTCTTGAGTGTAACCTTTCACCATGTAGCCTCTAGGTGGCACTGTTGTGTTTTTTTTGCATATTATCTCACATGGTCATCTGGAAAGGGAGGAATGCTGCAAACACTGCATTTTGGGAAAGTGGTATACTGTGCAATGGATTATAGGAACTCCAGCCATTGTGATGGTGCCTGGCATTTTGGGAGGCGACTCGGATGGAATATACTGTCCGTATTTACCCATCCTCCTTCTGGAAATAGAGATGGTTCTGTGCTTTTATAATGCTGATCTGATTCTGACAGCTCCCAAATTAACATTATTTGCTTTTTTTTTTTTTATCTAAAGCTCCCAAGTGCAGTGGGCTGAGAAGCACTCTCTCTTTCTCTGTCAAATAGGCACTAAGAATTCTCAAATTTCTAACCTGTTGGATGCAAATAATTTTGATTTCTTTGGTGGGAAGCAAATGAGTCATACTTTAACCCATTCTTTAAAAGGTATTGGACATGTTTACAGTGAAATGAGCCCTTGGCATGACATAATGCAATAAAAGGTAGACCAGCTAATACCAGGCTTTTAAACCAGGCTTATTTGAAGTCTCTGTGCATCAACTCGAGGGAAGAAGGTGCAGCATCCAGTGTCTTGCAGAGGGAGTATTAGGAGAACCATCTCACTTGTCCTTCCCAAACCCGTACTGTGTGGTCCCCCCCCCATATGAGCCACTCCAGCTGAACCCGTGCTGTAACAACTGTCTGTAATCTAAAATGAGGCTTTTTTTCTCCTCATGTTGATTGGATAGGATTTAATCAAACTCTGCATTTGTTTTTCCGGAGGTGGAGATTGCTGTAGCCACCTACCTCTAGCCCCTTTGGATTAAATATTTGACTGCTTTTTATTTCATGCATCTCCTCATTTCCTTGTAGCTGTATTCCAGACGAGACTTGATTATTTCCAAGTGTTTATAACTTGGGTCATGGTTTTGGGCCAGCACTTAGATGACTTCATGGGACTTGGAGGTTTGGACCCTTATTCATCATGCTGTTTGGGTACTCGCATTTTAAAGGGAAGCCCAGTTATTGGTGGGTTGAGAGTACTGGGCACCTCTGAGCACCTGGAGCATATGGGTGTCCATTATAATTGTACTCGGTCTCATGGGCTATTTTGCTTATGCACTGTATAATTGCTGAGACAGCACTAGGTAGGCTGTGATGAACTTAGCTGCTTGCATTTCTATTGGCAAGATGATTCCTGGAATATGGTGCAGGTTGGGCATCTGACTTGTGCATGCAGGGACTCCTGTCCTGCTCATAT